TCTTTTTCGAAAAACACTTTTTCACTTACCAAAAGGTAATGTTTAGTATATGTACAAAAAAGTGGTTTTTAAATTAAAATTGTAAAATTCACTTACAATTGCAAAAGTACAACTAAAATTTCATCGCTAAACACTATCACTAATTTATCTAATTAATAACAAAATTAGCGATGGAGTAGTATTGCAAATGTTTAGGCTCATCAAAATATCATTGCCACATCACTTTGGTCTAATGGACTAGTGCCACCTAACTACCACCTCACCGCGTGCCACATCACCCATCACCACCTCACTACCATGTCATTCATTATTATCATGTTAAATATTATTACCTTCAATTGTCCCTTAATTAAGCTAAAACTCTCAACCTCACACCTCCTAGTACCTTAGCATTCAAACATTCCCATATGTAGGCATTGTTTAGTATGCAAAAAAAAGGGTTTATGCAAAATATAAAATGCAGTTATCTCTTTTTTTTAGGTTTATTTATCATTTCCTTTTTGAAAAATACTTTTTTGCATACCAAATGCTGCCTTAAGATGTCTATGTTGTTCCTATTTACATGTACAATCTGGTATCGATCATATTTGGTATGTAAGGAATCAACATTTAGATAGAATCATAAAATTAAGAGATAAATATATAAGTATACAAACCAATATAATCTTCCATCCAAGAAACACTGAAGAGGTCTCCCAAACAAGTGGCTTATTGGGTTGCAGCAGAAGGCTGAGAAGAGGGCAGTAAACAGCAAAAATATCCTCAGAAGCATATTGGAAGCAGAAATGGCAAAAACATTGAAGGCTTTGAAACATGCTTCCTGATTCACATGCCTCCTTGTATATATATCACCATCTCCTTCTACCCTTTGCTTTCATGCTTCTTTTTCAACACACCCATTAACTCGTCTGCATGTATTTCATCCCCCTCATTCGGCACGCCTGATTATATTATCCATATATAAATTAATTTTAATTAATTAATAATTAAAATTACATGGATATTATTGATCTCCCTTATTAGTGGCATATATGCATGGTCCCCAAAATTCAACTGTGAAAAAAAAAAATCACAGCTCCAGCAAACTCTATGATTTTGGTGCTGATCACAGAAATGAACACTGATACTTGGTATCGTAATGAGATATATATGAATTGTTCAAATTATATTTTGATATTACATTTAAAGTTATTAACATTTGATTTTTAAACAATTAATAAATTCATTTTATTTTTTTAAAATGGTGGTAGTAAGAAAATTTAATTTCATTTTAGATTTTGTATAATTTATTATATAATTATTCAATCGCGACAAAATAAAACTAGACTAAACCCTTCATGCGTATATCCAATCCATTTCTCAACTTCGTCCATATTTAATATGAAAATGAAATGAAATGAAAATGATTTCTTTTGAATGCAAAATGTCTTTTATGTTCTGAAAAATTATAATTTAATAACCTGTTACATATCTTAATTTGGGTGTAGGAAAGATTTTTTTACATAGATCTAACCAAAAGGGGTCTCATTTATTTGTTTCTGTGGAAAAAATTGGAAAGTGAACTTCCCCCCCCCCCCCCCCTCTTTGCCCAAAGGAAAAATGAACTAATCATCATCTGCAAGAAACTGATTACGTACCTACAATACCAGGAGATCCATGATCTCCGTAGTAAATAAAAACCGAGTATTCAATGGCCACTGTCCACCACCTCACCGGGGCCACCGGTGAAGACAGTCGAGCTGCCAAGAATAACAGCAAACAGGTTGTGGGCTAAGCCCATTAGAACTTGAACCTGAAAGCTTTGCTATCCTTAAATCTAAGGTGAATCATCAAGGCTCAAGGCCCTACTTGTCTCTGTGTGTGTGTTTGTGCGTCTTTTTTTTTTTTGGAGGAAAAATGCAGTTTAAATATTTAATATTCAAGACAAATCAAAATAAAAATTTCATAAGTACAAATAAAAATTAAAAAATCATACAAATGTTCTATGATATGATCTAGAAGTCTAATAAATGTCTAATTATCATCACTATTTACAAATAAAATATTGAAGTGTTTGATTAGTTTTTCAATGATTCAACACTTTAATGATTATGGTTTGGCTATTTGTAATTAAGACTGAATAGGAGAGTTCTTAGATGGCCGAAAAAAAAAAAAGAGTAAGATATTTTTAAATAAAAAATGACTATTGGACTAGTCCTAAGTAGAGGTGTCAATTAGGGTCGGCCCTTCAAGGGTTAAAACCTAAATGGGCTGGTCCTTTTAAGCTTGATTACATTTTAGGACTCTATTTTTAGTAACCCGGCCCTAACAAAGTTATTACATATCACATTAAGTTTAAAAAAATAAAATAAGATCAATTCACACAACAAAAATTATAAGTTTGATAAAAAAAAATAACATTATAAAATCAACTCCAACATCAATTACATGTTGGTAGCATCATTAGCTAACTCTTGATATTTTTTATTATCATCAACATCAATATGATTTGATCAATATTCTTGTGGATCTTTATTAATGGCAAATATGTTAAACTTTTCATATCTTCCTTTTTCATCCTTATTATTTGCAATAAATAATAAACCAAAATCATAATTTCAAGCTATTTAAAGAATGCAAAAATATTCAAAATAAGCAAATAATAATGTGCATATCTACTATCTGGATTAGAGAGTGAGTGCTAAACTTGAGTGATGTGATGTCTTCTTTTTTTATATATATTTTTATATTATTTTTTTAAAAAATGTATTAAGGCTTAAAAGAGCCGACCCTGACCCTAAAGGGCCAACCTTTTTATTGTCGGACTTAAAAAGGTAAGCCTGATTTATTTTTTAAAAAATCAAATTAATAGTTCAGCTCTCAATTTTTTCAAACTTACCTCTAATTGACGGCTTTAGTCCTAAGTAAAGATGAGCAAACAACTCACGACCTGTAAAGCCCGCCCATATGCAATCTAAACAGGCAGGTCAAAATAATGGGCTAGCCAGCGTTTGAATTAAACGGGCAGGTAGGTAGGTTATGAGTTACCTCTCGAGCTACCTGTCCCAACCCAATTAGAGGTTTCTTTATAAAAAAAAATAAAAAATTTAATAATTAACCACACGAGTAACACGTATGGTTGCTTCCCGTGGAAAAGAAAAACCCTTTCTCATGCTCATCTCCAATTCACACACTCGTGGCTGTTAGTGTTCTCAGCCGCCCTCGATCTCTCATTCTCTCAAATCTCTCAACTCTCAAGTCTCATCTGCTCATCTCTCCTCGCATCGTTACTCGTCGCCGCCGGATGTGGGACTGGAAGACTGAACCGCAAACACGGGCTCCCTCGTCGTTAAGCTCACCTTCTTTGTTGAAACTATTATAATAGTTCTCTAAAACTTTCAGCCACTCGCACCGTCCATGCTCTCTTAGTCTCTTCTTCCACTCGCTAGTCATCCGTGCTGTATCCAAGATGTGATTCCATTCTTGAGTCTTGACTTTAATCTTTAATCTATTTTTACTTTTTATTTCCTTTTTCAAAAAAAAAAAAAAGTAAGCTGAATTTTTGCTCCTTCGTTTATATTTATAAATGATCTGTTTCAAAACTAAGCGAGTGCAGAGTTATGAGACTAATAAACCCTGCTATAAACTTAATTTTTGTGGTGGCAATCTAAGCTGAATGGCTGAAAGTTTTTTCCCCTATGTTGTTTCTCAATGTTGGGTGTTTGTACTTCTATGATGTATTCTCACCTGTTGTAAAATTTGAATCATTAAATGAACCCTGGGTCAAAGCCTAAATGAATATTAACAATATATACATGTGCTGGTTTTCAGCAATTCAAAGAGATGAACATGAAAAAGATTGTAATTCAAACTCATCTCATTGGTTGAATGCTCCTGCTGCCTGCGTCTGTGGTTCCCTTGAAAATACTGATTTATTTTTTTTTTTAATATGGATTGTTTGCACAAGACCGCCCAGACCCTTGACTTTCAGACGAGCTGAAACGGGCCACGTACGGTTACATCCTGCCCATTGGGCGTTGCTCAGCCCTAGTCCTAAGCCCGGCTTTTCTTTTTTGAAGGGTTTTTTAAAACTCAAGCTTGAAAATCTTGTCACTCATTTTTCTAACAACTTCGCAAACTCACCTATACAAAATATGGGGAAAATGACTCAGTCCAAATTCACAGCTCTAAGTTCAACCCATCTATCTCGCTTACAAAGAATCATCATTGGTGCATAATACTTTTTTTTTTTCCTTGTTGATATCCCATCCTTTGAGTCATCACAGATTTCAGAGTTTTTGTATCTATTGATGAAAAGGCAATCATTCAATTAAGATTACATTTGTAAGATAATTAGTCGTTGAGGTCCTCAACTTGTGAATCAGATTTGGCACAGCATTCTAGAACAGGGGAGTCATATTCTTATCTCGTTGAGGTTCTCATGTTATTCTCCATTTGGCAGGGCATTGAATCAGATTTGGTCTTCTCGATTCGTTGAAAGGTCATAGAAGAAAAGAACATGAGAACATTAAAATCTGACAAACAACTTTATAACGCTCCAGTTGGTTTTCACATCGTTTAAAAAACTAACATAAGCTAATCATAGGGGTTAAAACGTATAGCTTCTTGTTTTTTGAAAGATCCTCTTACTAATTTATAATGTCAAATAAAAAGTATTCGCGCTCAGCTATCCAAATCAGCTCGTCATGATAATATTAGACGATCCAAACCATTTCTATTCACTCAAAAACTCATAGGCATGGTAACATTTAAGGTTTGGTTTGGATGTAAAAAAAAAGGCCAGAAAAATTATAAAAACTAAAAAACTAAAAAATTTCAAAAATAATAATTGTTTTTTACAATTTTTAAGATTTTTTTTCTTAATCTTCTTTTTTCCTTGTTCAAATGAAAGGTTAGTTTCATTCCACGCCGTTGCTTTTACTCCTCCCCCCATTGATCTGTTCAATACTCCCAAACAATACATTATCAATATCAGCAATTATTTTGAACTAACCATGAGAGTCCTAGTATGTCCCCCAAATTAATTAATAAATTTTACAGGGTTAAGGTACAAATCTGCCCCGGATGTTTACACACAGGTACAATTGGTATCCTAACATTTTTAAAGGCACAACGTCACCTCCACATTTTTTAAAATCAATGTCACCCCACAATTACTTTAGCAGCAAATGGAGTCATACATGTGAGCATTACAAACACATGAGTGCCAAGTTGGGAGGACGAAATTTTGACCATGTACATGCTAGAGGGATGTAGTTGCCGTCACGAACCTCATCTCCTCCTTTTCTTCCCTCTTCTCCGAGATAAGTGACGACAAGTTGAATGCCTCTGGTAGGGATATCAAATGGAAACCGTACATTGTTGCTGGCTCATTCTACTTTGATTTCTCAAAATTATCATCGCACTCCGAATCAGACTCCTCGGTTTTCATCCTCATGCTCTTTGGGATTGATTTCTTGAAGAACGACGAGTCCATGATTTTTTAAATTGTGATTGAAGTATTGGGGTTCGAGTCAAGGAGCTTCGTGATGAGTCTTCGAGCTTCGGATGAAAACCACGGTGGGCATTTAAAGTCTCCTCTATAAATTTTCTGATACATTGAAACCAAATTGTCGTCCTGAAAGGGTAAGAACGCATAAGATGACACCACAAGACCAGATATCCGCTTTTGCACCATCATAGCCTTTTTCACTAATTGTCTTCGGAGAGACACACACTAGAGTACCACAGGTAGTGTGAAACAAACCATCTTGCCATAAGTGCTCGGAGAAAGTGCTAAGACCAAAATCTATGACTTTCAGGTTTCCATGCTCGTCCAGGAGCAAATTCTCCAGCTTGAGATCACGGTGTTAAATGCAACGGCTGTGGCAGAAATCAACGACGGAGATCAATTGCTGGAAATAGACTCTGGGCATGTCTTCTTTCAACTGACCTCAAGCGATTTTATTGAAGAGCTCGCCGCCTCGAACGAGCTCCATGGCGATGTACATTAAATTGCATTTAATGACCTCGGCTACATCCCTCCAACGTGTATATGGTCAAAATTTCATCCTACCAACCTAGCACCTGCATGTTCACAATGCTCCCATGCATGACTCCATTTGCTGCTAAGGTAACGGTGGGGTGAAATTGTTTGATTTTCGCCTTTAAAAATGTTAGAATACCAATTGTGCCTCTGTGTAAACATTTGGGGTAAATTTATACTTTAGCCCAATTTTATAGAATGCAATTGAAAATAAAAAATTAGATTCTAAAAAATCAAATCAATGACAGTTAGATTCTTGACAAAAAGAATTTTTAAAAATGAATTCTAAAATTTAATTCAGACACATGTATCCCAATTACAATCTAATAGTTATATATGAAACTGAAATATTATTTTTTCAGAAAATTTTGACCAGGTCTTAACTATTATTTTCCCAAAATAAAAAAAAGGTTGAATTGCACTCAAATCATGGACAACACAAGTAAATACTGCAAAATATATTGACAAATTACAACATTTCATTGTATTGTGTGGGATAAAAAGTAATTTTCTGGGGGGAAAAAACTAGCGGAAGATTTCCCTGTTTTTTTTTTGGTGGCCAGACTAGAGGAAGATTAACTAGGGGCCAAAGAAAAAAAAAAGGCGAATATGCATTCCTGGCACCACGTGTTATTAAATTTTGAAATACAGGTCCAACTTTTTTTTTCAACTGATTCTCTACCGTATTTGTGTTTGGGTCATGCTAGGTGAAATCAGAACTTATCCAACTCGGTTCAAATTCAAAACTCTGAATCTGGATGCTCTCTCAGCCAGAAAAAATAAATTTTTTTTCTATTGGAAAAAATATATCCTTATCATAATTTTATTATACTAGATTAATCCATAAACTCGATATTTTAATATCTGAATTCTAGATGAAATACAATTTTCATATTAGTTTCCACTTAAGAATTAACTGTGAATGGAATCTGAAATGAGATGCCAAATACACAGGCACACGGGAGAGAGAGAGAGAGAGAGAGAGAGAGAGAGAGAGAGAGAGAGAGAGCTACCTTAGTGCATTATTGATGAATAGAGTAAACATGTCCGGCAGGATGGAGAATCAAGAAGAAGATCTAGTGGCAGAGGTAACAGAGTTCCAGATTTGAGCAAGACCTCCAAGAATTTGAGGCATTACAGCTCCGATTCCTTTAAGGGCGGCGCCGGAAGCGATTCCGATAGCGAAGGTCTCGGGATAGCCAGGCTTGGAATCGAGCTTCAGGTCGAGAATAGTGATGCGGCTGTTGAGGGAATCGATCTTTCTAGAAGAATCCGCCAAGAGTCTGTCCTTCTTGCCGCGGCCGGAGGATATGACTCCGAACAACGCCTTCTGTAAATCGTCGATGACCTTCACGGCGGCGGCGTTAGAGTCGAGGCCTTGCGATTCGTAGTGAGATATCAGCTCTTGCGGCGTCGGCGGCTTCCTCTTCGAAGGGGTTTTAGGTTTCGATGAGGCGACATTTTTTATTCTCTGCGGCTCCTCCATTTTCGATTCGCTAAACCCTTGTCGGAGTGGGAACTGTTGAACTGAGAACCGCTATCACATTCGTTGCTTGCGCTCTTATGTCTCTATTTTTCAGGTTGGAAATTTAAATCCAATAAAATTAAATTAAATATCTTCGAATTTGGTGGTGACAAGGCAGTGATGATATTTGTACCTCGACACATGAATTAGCAGAATAATCACAGGAATAATTCAAATTCCCCTCAATGTAAACAAATATCACAAATTATATTTATAACGAAGCATAATAAAATGAAACTATTTTTGTATTGGGCCTAAACGTAATTTTAATTATATGATCATTATTTGGGAAAATATAAATATTTATCCCTATAATTTTATTGTGTTTTATTATTAATTTTTGTACTTTTTTTTATATTTTAAGTCTTAGTTTTTTTAGTCTACAACATTAATCTATCTATTTTTAAATATGTACAGAAAGACAATGGTATAGTGTAACATCCCAATTTAAATTTTAATAGTTAATTTGGGTTAATAGAAATTTAAAAAAAATAAATAATAATATTTAGAGGTAAGAAAATTAGTAGAAAATGATTATTAAATCTAATTTAAGATATAATTCTAAATTAAAAAAAATTTAAAAAAAAATTATTAAAAAAATAATAAAAAAATATTATTAAATTATTATTATAATAAAAAATGGAAAAGGTATGCAAAAAAAAAAAGAGAAGAAGAAGGAAGAAAACATGAATGCTGTCGGCCGCCTCAAAAGTAAAATAAAATAATAATAATAAAAAAGAAGAAGAAGAAGAGAGAGGAAATAATTAAAAAAAATGTGGGACTCACTGAATTTTTATAAAAACTCACCTGTTCCTTCGTTTCTTCATTCCTTCTTTCGTGCGTGAGCTGAGGCAGAGAGAGAGCATCTGTGAGCCAAATTCACCGGTGTTGGGTTTTAAGGTAAGAGTTTTTAATAGGATATTTAGGGTGTGATTTTAAGCTTTTTAAGACTAAGTAAGTGTTCTAAAATTTTTTCTTAGTCATCCTTTTTCTTTGGTTTCTGATTTTGTAGTGGTAGAAAATTTAAGATCTGGAAGAGGGATGAATTTATGTTGAATAAATATGGTTTTTGAGGTTGTTAGTAGTATAATAAATATTCTAAAGTATAAATTTATTGGTGATCTTTGAATTTGTGGCTTATGGATCAAATTCTAGACTAGATCTGAAAATATATGTTGATTTATTGAGGTTTAGATGATTATTTGGGATGAGAAATGAATTATTATGGTTATAGGATTATGATTCTAAACTAGAGACTCAATTTTTAATTTTTGAGTATTTTAGGTACGAATTTATGAAATAAAAAGAAAATTTTGATAATAGAAATTAGTTTAGAAGTTGATTTTTAGATTATTAATGTTTATTGATAATTAAAAGAGGAGTTAAAAATTTTACTTAATAGTATTAACTATAGATTTGTATTAAGATTGAAATTAGGAATTATGTTATATTTTTAATTCTATTATTAGAATTATTTTATTAGTTTCAAAAATTGAAACTAATATTTATAAATAATATGTTATTTTGTAGATTGTATTACTGGTGAAGATTGTGGTGAGAGAGAAATTTTAAGGAATAATTTATTGAAAAAGCCACAAGGTAACCATGCTTTTAATTTGTGATTAGTGTTACTTCATGTTAATTAGGTGATTATTGAGAAAATTATGAATTTTTGTAATATTGTATAATTGTGCAATATTATTATGAATTTGTTTAATTATTTGTGGGAGGTGTTGGGAGACTTGCTATTATTGTTGTATTTATGTGCCACGTGGTATGCCCCTATTGGAGCTCAATAGGTGGTTTGTAAGGGCTCGAGCTAATCTACCTTTGGCCGGGTAATTTAGCACCGAGTGAGGGCTACGGCTTGAAGTCAATGGAGGGATATAAGGATGGTTGTTTGTGTGTATTGTAATATTTCTTATATTTGTTGAAATTATATTATTTTTAATTTTCACTTAATAAGTACACACTTAACTGTTTGTATACACTATCATAAATTGGCTTTGGTTACTGGGACTTTTGAGTCTCATTATGTGGTTAACAATTTTCAGGAGAAGAGCCACGAGTGACACGTGGAGGAGTCCCAGAGGCTTAGTGGTATAGATCCACTGTCTCTTTTGGGTATTTAATTTATGATTTATAATGTGTTATATTGCCAATATTAGGGCTTTTTGTTTATTGTCAATTATATGAATATATAAATGTAATCATGCCTTTCAAACTATTTCTATTTTTAGTACAATTTGGATGACTGTAATTTTAATATTTGGTTTACTTTGGATTGGTTAAAATGGCATGATTATAAGGCCAAATAACTGGCTTGTGTTGAAAATTGACTAAATTGCTTATTTTACTTGTTGGGAGTATAAGGATGGACAAATGTGATTTAGTTTACTTGTTGGGAGTATAAGGATGGACAAATGTGATTTAGCCTAATGGCATGTGGGAGGTAAAAATTTATCTGAAATGTTATAGTGTGTGAGTTGAAGCCAATTATAAAATATTTTATATCGAAATTATTGATATAAAAATGTGTTGGGTGTCTGTAAGCCAACTATGGTTGAGTTAAATTATTTAAAAAAAAAATTGGTGTGTTACAAATTTTGGTATCTTGACTCAGTGGTACCAGACTTCGCCTCAACTTCGTTAAGGTGGTAGAGGTTGGAGGTTCGAGTCTGGGGAGGTTCCAAAAGACCCCCGTGAGGGTGGGGTGAGGAATAACCACTGTACCACCCGTGGGAAAGCCGACAATCATGTGGTGACATGTGTGTTGTCCAGCGCCTGGGAAAAGACCCTGGAGAGGCAGTGGTGACCCAGGAGGGCTGTTATATATAGTACTAATAACAATATTAAACTATGTGAAATTTAACTAACAATGTTAATGAGGACGCTAACATATTTAAAATACAATTAGTTGACAACTTAAATTAGGAGAAGAAAAAAAAATGATAATTGCAAAAAGTGATTTCTAGTCATTATGGTTACTCATTTTATTTCATATATCAAATGCCATAATTTAACATCAGTAATATCACATTATTGCCCCTCTAGATATATTTAAAAATAAAGAGATTATTGTAGTAGATAGAAAAAATTATAAGGACATAGAACATTAAAAAAAATTACATAGGCTAAATATAAAATAGGATAATTATAAGTATCCATAGTTATGGTTTTCCTTTTATTTTAAAACTTACAATAGCCTCGGTCTTTATAGATCATGACTAAAAAAAAACATAAAGATAGTTTATGATGATATATGATTAAATTTAAAATTGATGACAAAAACGAATGATTTAATTTCTTTCAGTGAAATATAATGTTATTAGGAAAAAGAGAAATAGGGATAATAGAGCTTTCAATTTCTTAAGATTGTCTCTAAGTTTAATGTTTAATTTTTATACTGATTAGTCCTTACAGTTTCTTAGATTATTGTGTTAGTTTTTTTTTTTATTTATTTGTGAAAAGGCAAGAGCTAGTTCTTTAAATCTTTAAACACAAACTAACTCTCAAGTTAATTTAAGGAAAAACACAGTCATTAATCTCTATAGTTTTATTATATTTTGCTTTTAGTTATTATAATTTTTTTAATATTTTTAATCCTTATAAGAATTGAAACTATTGAAATTATAGAGATTTTAGCAATAAACATCATCCAATCTTATTAAAATTATAAGAATTAAAAACACTAAAAATACTAAAAGGACTAATGATTATGCTTTTCCTTAATTTAATATGAATAGTATATTTGTTAAAATTTATGAGTCTATTTATTTTCTTAACTAAATAATTACACTTTTTTTATTAGTATGCATAGCTGCATGTCATTAATGTTTCTTTATTCATGTTAATAAATTTTAATAATGTTACCTCCTCTTTAAAATAGCATGATCCGGTGCATTGCAAGCTATAGTTTTATTGAGTCAATAATTGATGCAAATTTTAGAAACCAAATTAACAAAAATAAAATTTAAGAAATTAAATTGATAACTAAAACAAATTTAAAAAGACTAAAATTTTTATTATTATAAAGAAATATAAACACAACATCTCTTTGCCACTTGTCTATTCTTAAGAGTAGTATGAAATGATTGTCTCTCGAATCAAATTTATTTTTTTCCTTTTCTCACAACATCTTGTAGAAACAATCCTAGAGGATGAACATATTCAATACATTCTAATCCTGCATACTATATGGCAATGGTTTTAAAAATCAAACCGGTCGATCGGTTTGATTTTCAATCTGGTTCATATGAGAAATGGTTTTAGAGTTTAAGTCGAGTTGAGCCGTTTCGAACCAGCAGTCGAATCAAGAATCGAAATCAAGCTGGGAATCGAATCCAATTTTCAAAAACTTGACTGTTCAAAAAAAACTTTTTTTATTTTTTAAAAAATGACTAATTTTTTTAATCATATCAAATTATGTTGTATCATGTGGCTTATTAAGTTATGATAAACTTAAAATATTTAATTTTTTTAAGTTAAATAGAAATTTCATATGTATTTCTTATATTTAGATTATTATATACATATATAATTTTTTTAATTTAATTATTATGTCATCGGTTTGACCACTAGTCCAATCCGGTTGAACCATGCGAACTGTGAATCGCTGACTTTTTCGTTTCAATATCCAATCCAGTTTCAAAAACATTGTTGTATGGCAAAAAAAGGAATTTCACAATTCACAAAATAGCACAATGATTTGCCCGATGAAAATCAGCTTCACTTCCATCTAACGCGTATTTGTCATAAGAAATGTGAAGATACCAACTTACCTGGTGAAGTCTTACGATCATCTCAAATTTCCAAATTTCATGAATAGATTCTTCACCTCCTTTGATGGTTTCTTGCATGCGGGAAAAATAAAGATCATATTTTTATAAGATTAGCTTAGTAATTTATTTAAATGGAGAAGAGTTGCAAAGTCGAACCTGTTAGGATAATAATCACAGGGCCATCCCTTCTTTGCAAATGAATGTCTTCGCTCTATTCTCCATTCAATTTGTAGCTTCATATCAAGCAAGAGGATCATGCTTCGTTCCATTTTCATTGCTTGCTTTAAATTAATGTTCTTCCATTTACAAGACAACTATCAAGTCACTCTATCATCAATGTAGATCTTTACTATTAGTTAGATAACTTCTCCTAGGCCAACTTAGAAGCTTTTCCGGATTGGATAATTCCTTTTTTAATTTTTTTTTTTTTTTTTTTTTTCGTTTTCATGTATCTATAGTATCGTGTGCAATGTAGTTTGATCCTTTGATCCAAAAAAAGATAAAGAAAACCATCTAATTATTTGACTTGGTTAATAAATTTTGAATTTTTTGAATTGATTAAGTTTAATAGAAATTTTCCACAACATTTTTCAATTGTATATTTTTCATTTCCTTTATAGAAAACATATACGTTTCTACCTAAAAAATATTGCATAAAATTATCATTTTAAAGAGACCTTTTTTGTTCCTTCTAATAACAATTATTAGATTTTTAACAAAGATTGAAAAATCTTCGCAGTTACACTTTTTTTTCAATTAAATTATGCTAAATTTCAATATTTTCATTTAGAATACAAGAGAATTTACTCCTATTGCTGGACCTGAATCACAATAATTCGATCCTTTTTGTAAATAACAATAACAACATTATGATCTTCTTGTTATGGGTCCTCATATCAAGCCCATCGTTACTTTATTTGTTTAATTATAATGGGCCTCATGGCCTTTAGGTGTGCATTTGATCCAATCTAAAAAAGGGTGTAACGACGTCGTCGTGGCCGTGACGTTAACAATCGAAGATGACGAATTGTTCACTGCGTTTTTGGGGGCATATGGATGAGGCTATAAGCCCAACAGCAGACAAATCAAACCCAAAAGAAGAAACAAAGCTACCTAAATTAAACAAAAGGTTCATAGAGTCACAAACAAAAATTGTTGGTAAAGATTTAAGGATTAAGAGTTCAAAATATCCTTGAAGTGCACATAAAGAGTCATAAATGATCTATGTTCCTTAACCTTTAAGATTTTCAAAATTTTCATCCTGCGCTTTTTACAATCAATTCCTCCATTAGCTAGGCTCACATTAAATTTTTTAATATTTATTTATTATCAAATATTGCATGATGGGGCCCACCAATTTTTTTATATTTTTTAATAATTTAAAAAATTTCTTTCCCTCTCTCCCATCTCTCCCCCTTCCTCTCTCTCTCTCTCTCTCTCCCTTTCCTCTTTATAGTCTCTCTCTCTTCCATCTTTGCCACAAGTCCGGCATCCTCTCTACATTTTTCACTTTTTTCTCCATTCCTTCTCTACATTCTTTATTTCCATGCATGCATGGCATCATGATAGTTGACCTCATCTCCCACAACCCCTCCCTTGCCAACCTCCTCAAATGCATCTTAAACCAATGCAATGTTGATGGCCTCGCATACTTCAGCTACAAGGCCATCCTCGATAGCCTAGGCTAGCCATGTCCTTCCAGTCACCTATGTTGTCTCCAATGGCGTCATGACCTTTTTTTGTCAAATTTACCAATGTTTGGGTTGTTCATGGTTCAAGATGAGGACTAGAGAGAGAGAGAGAGAGGGAAAGGAGGGAGGGAAAGAGAAAGCAAAGCTCAATGACAATGGTTTGGCCAATAGCTCACAAGTCTTTAGTGAACTTATCACTACTGGCTCAAGACCGCCACTTCATCCATCCAAAACTTTACCTCATCACTTCAACCCCTACATTTTTGAGCTTCTCGACAAAATTTGGGTTAGTAGATGCATTGCATAAGGAGTTGAGAAGAGTGAGGTCGGCGACAACATAAGGTCAATAAGCACTAAAGCAATGAAGGCAGCATCATTGATGTTACCAAAGCTGAAAGGGAAGGTGAATAGGAATGGCATTAGGGGAATTGACGCTAAACGTATCAATGCATGCTAGATATGGTGGTGAATGTGGAGAAAAAGGCGGTGATGGTAGAAGACATGAACTCCAAGATGGACTTGGATGCCAAGGCAAGTTGAAACAATTTAAAGACATCAAGCTTTGGTGCACATCAAAAATGGGATTTAGATTGGAGCTTTGCTACAAATTGATGAAGTGCTCTGTAAAGAAGTAAACGAGGGATGAGCTCTAGATAGAGGAGAAAGTGGAGGGGGGAGAGAGAGAAGTGAGATGAGATTAAAAAATATAATAGAAAATATAAAATGGGTCCCACTGTTGTATTTTATTATTAAAAAATTATTTTAAAAATTCACATGGCTCTTACTTAATAGAAGAATAACGTTAGGGTATAAAAGATCAAATTTTTAAAGTTGAAAGACAATATTGACCCTAAGTTGAGTTTAGGATCTCT